GCTATGCCTAGCACAGACCCTCAGATGGCTGGAGCTGAGGCAGATGCAGCCACATTCTTGGCAGGTCTTCTCAGGGTCATCTTTGATGTGGAGAAGTGCTTGGTATTGTTTTCCGCATTGACGTTTGTCCTTGGCACATGGAAGGCAACATCCCTGTGTACGGTGGCCCCTCGGTCTGGCCCCATGGCTTGCAACTTGCTGCCTGGACAGCACTGCTTCTTTGGGGGTCCCTCTGCAACACTAAAAGGGCTCCTTGGCTCTTCTGGCTGTTCCTCGGTTGCCTACAAAGTAGCAGCATCTGCCCCCCATCTCCTTTCAATGCATGCAAGCAACACATTTCATTTCTGTCACTGCCCTGGGAGGGTTTGCTCTGGCCTGAAGGATGCCCAGCTTTGCTGGATAGAGGAACATGAACTTCTTCCTGAAGAAGGATCAAGGTCACACTCCCCTTAAGTCAAACCAAGGGCAAAGAGCACACAAACAGACCTTTGCTTTCTGACTAAACTTTTAGATCCTCAAATGGTAATTACAAGGACCACAACTTTTACTGAAATGGGAGCTCAGTGCCCTAATATTTTTGGTCCACATTCAGCATCCATGCCGAAAAGGGCAGGAGCCGCGGTTCAGGAGATGCAGCTGGAGGCACAGGAGCTCACATAGGCCAGCGGTAGGTTGGTTTATGCAGGTTCAGAGCTTCCACTTGTGCTCCACGGATGCCTCATCAGAGATGAGTAAGCTGAGAGCAAAAGGGGTTAAAAAGCCACCAGGCTCTCGCTTCAGCTTCGGAGCAGCTGTGGGAAGGCAATCACCTGTCCCCTCCGCAATTCTCTTCCATAAACACTTGGAAGAAAATTCCCTCCTTGGCTACTACCATCACACTTCATTAGGGAAGAAATGCCGGTACCAAGGAAGCTGAGCCTCCTCCACCCACCGCGAACATCACCGGCAGCTCCCTCTCAGCTGTTAACATCTCTCTAGGACAGCAGATGAAGAGGTAGGTGTATTCCTCATACAAAGCTGTGCCTTACTTCATACGGCTCATAGCTGTGCTTCTAAATTAAACACCATTTCTTGCATACAGCTTTGAAGCTGCTGCCTTTCCCAGGGTTCTCAAGGTTGGGCTGGAAGCCCCTTTCCAGCAGCCCAGCTGCTTTGGTAGCAACTACATCTCAGGAGGCTTTCAGCACGCAAATGCTTTTTGGGGAGGTGACCTGGGAGCCTTCAGAGCTCCCAGCAGTTCCTCAAGTGATTGGACACAAGGGCAAGAGGGAAAAGTGGTAAAAGAACCCCAAAACAACAGTTTATCAGCATAAATCTCCTGCAGGGCTACAGAAAACTCTCACCACCACTGCAGCTGCAGGAGGTCCCATCCGCACATCCTCGTCTGCATCTCTGCGGAGAGACGGTGAAGCAAATGCAGGGATTCAATGTCACGTGGCTGCACCCTTCATCCTTCATGCGTCCCCACTGCTGACCTGCAGCCAGACCTCCCCTCCCAGCCCTTGGGTCAAGCAGGCTCCTCCTGACCCTACAAAACACTGTCAGGGAGCTCAGTCCTTGACTTCACCACCTTCTACCCCAACAATGGGGACCTCCATCCCATCCCTGCAGTTGACCTGCACCCAACAAGACCCTGGGCACTTTGCCCTCAAAGGTGTCATGACCTTCAACCAGGCTGTGGGTTTAATCACATGTAACCAATTAAGGGAACATCTCCGCAGCTTGAGAACTGCCCAGTTGCAGGTTCTCATCCTTTTTCAGTCACTCTGGGCTCTGACTTGTATTTGTGCCCTTTTTCCACCCCTGACTGGGGCAGGAAATGTCACTGCTGGCAGTAATTTAACCCGGCTGATTTTAGTGCTTGTCAAGAGCTAAGTACCAAGCGAGCAATTAGGGGATGGGCAGATTTCCGTCTCCTGAAGGCAGGGGCAGGAAGGTCAGGGAGAACGCACCAGGCATCAGCAGACGACAGAGAGAAGTGCTGGAAGCCCCAGGCCCTCGCTGCCCACCTCAGATGCAGGACGTATCTTTGGCAGGCAGAGAGGGCATCCTGGGTTTTCTTCTCGGATCTGCTGGTCAGGGTGGATCTGGAGAATTTCGTACTTTTTGGGTTCAAAGGAAGGAATCTGACGGGTGAAGACTTGAGCATCGAAATTGTGGGGTTTAGACACAGTTTGAAGAAAGTCTGTGCTTTCTCTCAAAACCATACAGCTTTGTCTCTGTTGTGTGTTTGGGCAGCAGCACACAGCTTCTGATCCACCCAAGGCCAAATTAAAAGTTATTTTCTAGAATTCTGGCTCAGAAATCAAGCACACCTGCACCTTTTCAGTAGTCTCTCTTCTTTTCCCCCTTTACTCCCAAACTCACTCAAGAACAATACCTTTCTAAATGCATCTCCCTAGTGAAGATGTTAAAATACATAGGATCCTTAAAAAGCCATCAAGGCTGTTCTACTGTAAAGTGCTCTCTGCTCTCCTGATAGCACCCTGAAAAAGTAAAAAGCAGCTGGGTCGTGCAGTAGTTTGTATTTCTCCTCCTGAGGATTTTCAATTAAGCATTTTTAACTTGCTTGTTACAAAACACATTAGAACTATTTTGCATTAGTTTAGACATTTTTTCATAAAGAAGAATAGAAGATTTATCCCTCAAGTTTATCCCTGGTATAAACCGCCATCCCACTGCAACCCCCGAGTAAAAATAATAAGGAAGCAAAGTCAACAGAGTCACTATATAGAGCTCAGCAAAGCCGGACTAATCTACATGTAACATGGGAAGCCCCAAAACAAGACCGCAAAGCAGCAGGCATAAAAACATCAGCTTTTACACTCGTGTATAGAATTTCCCATTGTGTCTTGCAGAAACGTGATGTTAGATTGCCACTGAATGAGGCTAAAACACTACACAAAAGATTATTATTCCTTCTACTGCTGCAACTAGTGCTTAGGTATTCAGCAGCAGGCATTTTTGCTACTGCTTGGAAAAGTCAATCTGTTGCAGGATCTCCAGTGCAACTTGTGAAAGTGAAGTGGAACATGCAGGAACTGTGACCGTCCACAGCGCATGAGCTATTTTTGCAGCTGAGTGGGTCTCTGGGTAACCTTCCACACTCAAGCAATTAATTCTAGGGTTGAAGGCAACTCTACACTGAAGTATCTTCAAAAGGGAACCAGAAATCATGACACCACCTCGGGTTCACGACTGATTCATAACAGATGCGGGGACCATAGCCCTCATGGTCCCATGTCAAGTCTGGAGACGTTTTGACGAATTCTGAGCAGATGGAGCATAAACACGATCCCTCACCCATGCACGTTTACTGCCTATCAAGTGATTGCACATTCCCAAAAACCGTACTGGGGCTTAACAGACGGACCTCCCACCCAAATACTTCATCCGCACTCTCCAGTAGTGAAAAACCCCATCCCCTGACCACACTATCTGCCACGCAGTCAGAAACAAGAGCCACCAAATCCGAAACCCTAGCCAAGAGGTTGGCAGGCTTGGCCAGTGACCCGGCACGAGACATGACTCTTGGCCCCATCCAGCACCGATCCCTCCTCCTACATCTCCTTCCCACCACAGGGACAGCGTCCCTGAGGCTGAAGGATTTTGTGATTTTTTTAAGAGGGACCTCACGTCACCCATGGAGCTCCACAACACCCATCCTCAACCAGCAGCACACAGACACATCTAACACGAGAGTCATCACTGTTAAATGGGGAGTCAAGGTGTCCAAGGACCTAAACCTTCCACTGCTAACTTACAACTTGCTCCTGGAGCCTGGATATATTAGTATGGCAATTCTTTCCTTGCTAATATTCTCTGCCCTATCATACACATGCAGGCTTATCGTAGGCTGTTTTTCTCATTTCTCTTCAAGAAAAATTAATGTGGAAGTAGATTTTTCCTTTTTTTTTTTTTCTTCTTTCCAGAGACACAGTATTTTAATATTACCCCTGTAAGTCAAAGCAATTTGAATGATTATCTCACTTAATGATGCTGCCTGTGCTGCCTCCCAAATTGCATTCTGCTTCTAAGAGTACCTGAACAGCTATTCTTTTCTAGTTTACTTTTTTTTCTCCTCCTTTCTTGGCACTTGAGGTGATTCAAACTACTGTCTGCCCTTTCAGCCTGGCGTTTTATTACTCCATAACCAGGTAGAGAGAAAGTAAATCTCTCTCTGCCCGATTAAACGATTATACTAAATCTTCTATAGCCCACAGGAAATGAGCTGAGTTTGTTAAAAGGAAATCACTAGTACTTGTTATCTTACACAATCACTTTAAGGGGATTATTGACTACACCTGTTCCCTATACCATACAACTCAGAGAGAAATCTCATGTCAAAAAACAAAAAGTCACTCCACTTAAACCACTCCAAAGTCGTTTATAAGAAGAGGGAGATAAACATTTAAGTGACCAACATATCACATCTATTTGATCCCCCAAAAAAGTGACTTTACTGTAAAAGTCTGCGGTCTAATTCATGCTGCGTGTAGCACCAAGTAGAACTGCCTCCTGCCCTGTGCATATGGCTCCAGCTTACTGTTATCGTAAAAGTACTGTTTGCTCATGCTAACCACCTCTCCCTGCGCCTGGGAGCGAGGAGCAAATCATCAGCTGCTCCATAATAGATGCCCACAGCATCCATGACTCGCTGTAATTTGAAGGCAATATGAAGAAGAAGATATGGCCATTACACAAGCAAAAATGTTTATTTCCACTGCAGAAGCTATTTAATTTCCTGCTTGTTGCTGTTCCCTAGATAAGACAACATCATCAACCTAGGGAACATCCCTGCTGCCGGGCTGCAGCATTGCATGATGATGTCCCCAGAACGTGACTCTACCATGCAATGGCAAAGCCTACATAGCTGGAGTTTGGTCCCATGTGCACTAAACCACCACCAACACCTTTAGGTATCTGGTCAGGACAACAGGGAAAGATGCTACCCATCATGGGTCCACGGGACATGGGAATAATCACAAGATGAAACTCACCGCGGACACTTTGCTCACAATGTCCCTTGCGACGGCAAGGCCCTGCGCGAAGGTGCGGGCAGCCACAAACGCTCGTGTCACTTGTAGCTTGAGCTTCCGCGGCACGTCCCCAAACGGCTTCAGCTGCTCAGTGTACTTGCTGACACACTCAAGATACTCATCCGTGAAGTGGTACTGGGGGTTGACCAGCCGGAACATGCGCTCCAGCAAGCGCGCCCAGAACTCGTTGAGCATCTCCTCCAGGTTGACATTGCCACCCACGTAGTACCGCTTCAGCTCCACGAAGAGGTCCTTGAACAGCTCCGAGTTCTGCATGTACAAACGGCCGTATGTCCGCACGAACATGTCGTTCAGTGACTTCTCAGCATTTTCAAGAAGCTCTTTGAAGAACTCTAGAAAACAGGAAGAGAAAATATGGTAAGCACAGGCATTGGGTTGTGTGTTCGCATACTTCTACAACCACTGCCATTGCTTAAGTGGAAAATTCAGCACAATAAGACCATCACCCAAATTAAATGGAAGGTTAAAGGACTCCCTAGAAGTTTTCAAACAATTTCTGTATCTCATGATTTTTGACTATTCTTCATAAACCATCGCCCCGCATGCTCTCTCTCCAGGTTGGAAGACTTGCATGAGTGAAATGTCTTTTGATGCAAACCTGAACACCATTACAAAAGTCAGCAAAATGGGGGAGAAAAAAAAAAAAAAAAAAAAGGAGCCTGTGTCTTATGTTACCATTTAGCTTTCTCAAAAGAAGTAATCTCAAAGCACAAGACTACTGGAAAGCAAAAAGAAAAAAAAAGTTTTTTGTGAAACAGACATTTTGCACAAATGGGTTTTTCTTTTCAGTTCTTGTCAAATCATTTTCTGAAATGATCATAAATCAACCTCAAAAATGAACAAGTTTTAATACATTTTAAAAACAAACCCAAAAATCTACCTGCAGGTTCTTTCTCCCATCTTGCAAGTCTGTCAGCTCTCAGGGCAGGGCCCGTCTCTAATTACCTAATTGGTCCTGATTGCAGACAGGGCTTCAGATGTTTGTGGAAGTACAAAAAAAAAAACCCCAACCACCATAATTAAGCCAGACTTCGCTCAAAAGTCAAGGGCTAAACACTTGGCACAAGAATGACAAGAGATTTTTCAGATAATAAAGGACGGACAGGGGCTCTTGGCTTTCATCACTTTCTAAAAGTAAATCCCCACTTTGGTTCACCCTCCAAGAGCACCAGACAGTCCAGTGCCAGAGAGCGGCCGCTGCCAAAGCGTCGTCACCGTGTCTTGGCAGCGCCACATACATCTCTAACACTGATAACAAGCTGACCTGATGACCTCTGGCATGTCAGATGCATCTGCCAGGTCAGTTTAAAGAAAATCCCCCGCCAATACGGTGCCACCAAAGCCTTGGCACGTGGGTCTAAGCAAAGACTACCCTACCGCAAAGCCTTTGCCTGCAAGATTTGGTTAAAATAAAAGAATAGGCGAGAGGTCCATTAAGCCAAATGGGCCATTTTGGACCAAAACTTCATGCTACGTGGCCTTGGGAAGGAGTGAAGAAGAGCAAGGGTAGATGCCACCAGGATAAACCATCACTTGCTGGCGGTGCCCACGCCACGCTGACGCCCGTTTGCTCCAACCCCACGGGCGATGCCGGCACCCCAGGGCGCGGATGCAGCCTCTCCATTGCCACGCACGGCACAGGCAAGGAAGCGTATTATTTTATGCATGCCACCAGCAACTGAGGATTCCGACTTCTGCTTTTCTGTGACTCATATTCAATAAATATTTTTTAATAAAACATGCCTCTGTGGTTTTTTTAATCCTCAAAGGAGTAATGTTTAGAGCCAGAAGTTGTTAGAAGGAGGAGGGGGGAAATATTTTGGCCCAGTGTGAATTTAAACCTTGTTAAAACATATTAAAAGTATGCTGAAGTTCAGATTTTCGTCTTCAAAGTGCTCCAGTACAAACAAAGCTTAACACAGAAAACATTTTCTGGAAAAACTGAAACATTCTTCGAGTTCCTGATGAACAAAGTCATGGGGCTCAGTGCCTGACATGGCTGTATATAATGCAGCCTCTCAGGAGCACAAGAGAAATGATCCAGGGAAGAAGAGATTGATTTCAAACATCCAACACGTCCCCTGTCCATGGAACCTCCACTTTCGTTCCCATGACTGGCATTTCCTCTCCAGGAAGATTTTTTTCTGCTGAGTTTATACTACAGAGATTAGCTTGGTGTATATTAATTTCTAATTCACTTAATCATTTTGAAGGCTCACTTCCTTCCTTTGCTCAGACCTTTCAGTATCACCAAATAAGTTGTTCATTTAAATACTTTTGTGCCAGGCACAAGAGCTGGCAGATGCATCAGCAAACTGTTCAAAAAGAACTGGATTTTGAAATTATATTGATGGGAAATCTATTGAATAGTTCCAACCACAAGTCTAAAGCAACCCAAAGCAATGTTTTAAGCCAGGAAAGTTATCTCAAGTAATACATCCATGCTACCATAACCAATTTATTCTCCTGCTCAAATTCATTTTATTGGTTACACTCCAAAGTGGAAGTTGAATAAACTGCATCCTGACTTTAGAGCACTTCATGTCTTAGCAATTTTCATGTGGGCTAGAACCAGGTATGTTCATTAATTACCCTGAAAAAAAGAATGCAACCTAATTAGCAGCAAATACTTGTGCACCTGCAGTCTTCCAGCCAGCAGCTTTTCCTTGCCCAGAAGGAAGGTAAATAAAGGAAACGAAAAAACTTCCCACCAAAACCAGCCACTTCTAAAACCCCAACACTGCCGAAGGAGGTACCACATGCGCTCAAAGCCATCTCTGGCTCGAGTGCCAGTCAGCATTTTCATAGGCAGAAAACACTGGTTCTCAAGTGCCACTTTCCAAATAAGAAGAGGAAGAGGACAGAGGAGGTTTGTGTGTCTGCAGCACAGAGCCAGCACCCACCCTCCTGCCCGGTGAAGCTTCCTTGCCAGGACACGTCTGCATCCCTGAACCGCACCGGATGGGATCCCCTGGTGACGCGCCAGTGGCTTGGCCCATGGGCAGCCTCGGTGGCACCTCGAGGCTCCTGGGGTGGGGATGAGGTTGGGAAGGTGGGGAGGAGGGATGTCGAGCACAGCATCAGGGATAAGGGGCCACCCCATGCCAGCAAGCAGGGATGGACTCGGTAGTGGGATGTGCACTGCAACATCCTCCTCCATACAATGCACAGCACTCAACTCTGCCAGCAGCAGGGATTAAACGATAGCTATAGATATGTTTCACTCTAGATGTTGGCATACTACAAGTCTGCATCCTCAGTTTCTGTCTCCTCATCAAGAAACCAGCTTGGGCACAGAAAGGAACATTAAGCTTTCCTCTGTGCAAGCCACGGGCACAGACGTCTGCAACAAAGAGAAGAAAGCCTGAAAGTCTTTTTTATTACTTAAATGCTAATCTGACTAGTAACTTCCTACATCTAATTAGATATTAATTCTGCCCTTCATAGAAACAAGCTGATCAGCAAACACCAACGTAACCCAGCATTAACCTTGCCACCACAAGAAGAAAAATGGCAGGCTCCTCTCTTACGTCTTGACTGTTTGCTGGGTAAAATAAATGACCACCTTTCATTTGTATTAGAAGTTGACTTGTTCTCAAACAAAGCAAACACACAAAGGCCTCGGTTGCTTATTTTACAGCACTGTAAAAGCACGTTTTACAGCTGTGTTGCAAGCAATCTGTACTCATTAAATTATCACTCTGACAGGCTTCCTGTGAAAAGCTGTCAAATGCAAACATTTCTCACAGACGACAAATCATACTTTGCTAGTGCTCTCCGAGACGCGGCTATCTGGAGGGATGGTAGGTTCTCTTTTCCCTCCAGTTATCTTGTTTAAACTCCCAGAACAAGGGCTGGCCCCTCTGTCAACAAACAGGCATAAGCACACACACCACTGACCCGCGGGAGCAGCACGTGGCTTGAAGGTCTCCCTGATTCTCCTACCTAAGAGCAAAGCGTGGAAAGATGCCTGGGTTACATGGAGAGGACAGACCTTAGACATGGAGCTGGGCTAACATGGCTCAGTCAGCTCTGGTCCACCCTGATACAGGAGCAAGTCCACATTTTACTGCTTCAACCCACCTCAGCTAAGCCCTACTGATATAAAGTCATCTTGTCACTCAGGGTGATGCTCAGGAGGACGAGCACAGGGGCGAGGGTACCAGTGCTGCCAGTGATGCTCAGGAGGATGAGCACAGGGGCAAGGGTACCAGTGCTGCCAGTGATGCTCAGGAGGACGAGCACAGGGGCGAGGGTACCAGTGCCACAGTCCGCAGCACACAGCCGAACTGCTCGGTGGGACCAGAGCCACAAAATCTTTCCTAACACCAAGAAGAAAGTTTAAAATTTGTCTGTATTGCAAAATAAATCTTGTGGACGCTACGGACTTTGACGTTCAAAGGAAGATGACATTTCCAATGCAATTAACTTTTAGAGATAGAAAAGGCAGTAATCTGCTGTCAGGCAATCTACAGCCCTGGGCTCTGTTTATTCTTTTAATGTGTTTGAATTTCAGGGTAGAATTTCAATTCCCAACACTTGGGGAAAGCCAACAGATGTCATGAAATGGTAAGAAAGACTGGATGTGACATACCTGGTATTCTGCAATAAGAGTCCTGGAAAAAAAAAAATGAAAGAAAAATCTCTGCTTTTGAACAAATCCATCCATAAAAGAGCACAGCGGGAAATATAACCATAGTTACTTGGCAATTTCACTTTTTTTTTTTTTTTTTTTTTCAGGTAATCAGATGTATTACTTGTTTGCAGCTTGAGGTCAGACCAGCCTGGTCAGTAACCCAGCGCAGGAGAGTACCGCACCTTCCCAAGGTGCTTCCACATGACATCAGTTTCCACTGCCAGAATAATTCAAAACAATCTTTCTTCCAAATTGTGGATACATGAGCTACTCGAAGAAACACAAGCACTCCACCCACTGCGAGGCAGAGGGCAAATCCCACCTCCAGACAACTCATCCGCTTCCTTCGATTTTCGTACCCACTATTTTTTTTCCATCTTGGATTCAGAGGTCTCATCTGAAAATATCCTTTTTTTAAGTAAGAAGGGACGCAACATTTTCCTACTCCTCGTGCTAACATTTTCAGATATATCAAGAGTGGGATTTTCATATAAGAGGGCTTTTGGTGAGGAGAGCCCACTGCTGTAGGGCGCAGTCCTACCTAAATCAAAGGCAGCTTCTGGAAATTAGATGAACACATCAAAGGGGCATGTTGACCTTCACCCACAGGC